GGCTTGATGCAGGAGGCATCGCTTGAGCCCAGGGAGTTTGCATGTTACTGTGAGTTAGGGCTGACGCCACGTATCTAGCTCGGTGACAGAGTAAAACCGTCACAAAAAGGAAAACAAAAAATCAGAGCCTTTCTAAAGGAATTCTAAAATAGTAGTCATATAAGCACCTATTAGCAATAAAGTTCAGTCTACTTTAAGATAAGAAAGGAAATGAGCCAGGCTATTCAAAATATAGAATTTGTACTTAGCTCACACTGAACATCTAATTAGAATGTTACTGGACATTTCTCTTAATATGTTGTCTGCTCATGCTCTAAGACAATTCTTTAATCTGTACTCAGTTCTCCAGTTTCAACGAACAAGGACACCTCCTGCAGTTCTTAGGGAGCATGCAGTCAAATGTGCTTTTAACTATATAGGTTGATCCCAATACATTGCATGTGTGGAGAAGAAGAATAGAGATAGAAATAATATCCAAAATACCTCGTTCAATTCGATCGTTAAGCAAGTCTCTGAAATGCGTTAAGTACTTTATAGAGTTCCCCCAAGTTATCTAAATCTGGTAACCCGATTCTACAATTCAGGAATTGGAGTGTTCAGAATAATATCTTAAATGCCAGGGAATGCTTACATTTCTGCAAGGTGTCGGGCTTTAAACAAGACTTGAAACCATACAAGCAGAGTGTGTGACAATTGCTGGCTTTATGGCGCGTTATCAGGAATATTGGCCCTTAGAACTCTAGCCAAAATTTTTGTGTGTGTCGCGACAGGCAGAACTAGGATGGTTTGTTATGGGCCGAATTGTGTCTTCCCCCAAATTCCTGTGACGAAAGCCTAAGCCCCACTGCCCTCCGGTGCAAAACTGTATCAGGTGAAGAGGGCCCTTAAAAGAGGTATTGAGGGTAGATAAATAAGGTCATGACAGGCGGGCCTAATCCATGTAACTGGCTGTCCTTATAAAAAAGAGAAGATTAACCACCAAACCACGCAAGTAGGACAAGATTAGTGAAAACAGCAGGGAAAACAACGCCACTACAAGGCCGAGGCAGCGAGGCCTTTAGAAAACAAAACCTGCTGGATAGATTGATCCTCGGCGACTCCAGCCTCCCAGAAAGGCCAGGGAAATAATTTTCGTTTAAGCGCCACTCTCGGTGGCCGCCCTTTGTCATGGCACCCTCGAAGACTGCTACAGCTCCAGCGTGCCACCCACTAGTCAGCCTGTCACCATCCCTCCTCTCTGTGTGGGCAAGGCTTGACTACGGTGTGGCAGTCACTGCCGCTTTAGGTCACGTACCGATGGCAGCTGACTACGTTTAGGTTATTAAGACTCTGTCACAATCAGAGAGGGATTTGTAAAAGTTTCCCGGGGGCCGAAAGAAACAGAGAGAGAGAGAGTGGGGCAAATAAGTGTGCTTAATTCTTCCCGTCGGTGAGGTTCTTGTCCCAAGAGACAGGGGCGCACGGAGGAAGCCGCTCGGGTTGTGAAGGGGAGTGGTCTTTCATTAGCATCTGGGCCAGGCTAGGGACCTTTGGCAGGAAG